CTCTGCCCTGCCTGGCCCTCGATTTATGGCAGGCGATTGGAACTTTGCCCCTGATGCTCTGTCCGTGTCCTCCAAACTTCGTGCTGCTGGATGGATTGAAGTCCAGGATCATCTTGCTTCTTTGACTGGGCGACAGGTTGAAAATACTTGCAAAGGTGCCACCCGGAAGGACTTTCTGTGGCTGTCCCCGGAACTTGCCTTGGGCTTTTTGGATTTGTCTGTCAACCATGAAGTTTTTGCGGATCATGCCGTCATGATTGCCCAATTTGCTGGTGGCACTTCCCACCTTGAGCGTTTCCCTTGGCCATGCCCCAAGCCTGTGCCGTGGACTCGTGTTTCTGACCTGTGCACCGCTGTTGACTTTTGTCCCCCCTCTGACCCCACTGAGCAGTATGCCCAACTTTGGAAGGTGAAAGAGCAAGTTGCTGAACAGTCACTTGGGGTTGACTGGTTGCCTCATATGGGTGGTCGAGGGTCCCAGACCAAGCCTAAACGGGTTGTTGGCCGCCCTGCTCCGATCAAGCAGGGCCGTGCGCATGACGTTCAGCCGAGTTTCTTTGGATTTTCTGCTGTACATGCCAAGCAGTTTAAACAACTGAGGCGCCTCCAGAACTACTGCCGGTGGATTGACAGTAGGCCCCAAACTGGCGTTGTTGACTCTTTGCATGGCATTGGGCTCTGGAATTCCATCTTGCGGGCCCCTGGTTTTGGCCTGTCCTTTGCGCTTTGGTGGCCTACTCGGCAGTATGTTTCCCCGATGGACCCTGTGCACCTTCCCGTTCATTGCCCCCCTTCTGCTGTTGCGCACCAGATTTATGAAGCGGTGCTGGCTGAAGTTAGGCTTTTTGAGCAACGTTTGCAAAATGCCAAGCAGGCCTATCGACAGACACAGCATGACCATGACCGTAACTTGGTGTTTCGTGATGTTGCTCGTGCCCCTGCTGAACCTGTGGAATCGCTGTTGCACAAGGTTGAAGCTACCATCACCAAGGTGGATGCAGATGAGTGCGCTGTTGAACTTGACAAACCTGTTTCTCTTCTGCCTGATTCCCCTGTTTGGATTTCTGGTCACTCCCATGAGGTCATCCATGCAGATCATGACAAGATTTGGCTCCACGATGTGACTGACATTCAGCCTGCTGATCGGTGTGTCCAATCGAAACATGTTGGTGACCTGCGTGCCCTTTTTGAGGCCTTCCATGACCAATGGAAACTTCGGTGGTGTCGGCATGATGGGCTCTCGTTCAGTCACTGGACTCAACTTTTGGATTTTGCCAAAGTGGTCATCAGACCTAGTGTGATTCCCCACCTTGCCATTGACAGCTCCCTTTTGAGAGCTGAAGTCAGCAGAAAGAAAAAGCGGGCCGCCACCGGCCTTGATGGCGTCAGTAGAGATGACTTGCTGCAAGCTGACCCGGCTACTCAACTCTCCTTAGCCTTACCAGCCTCTACCACAGAGCCGAAGCTGACGGCCAGTGGCCTGCTCAAATTCTGGCCGGTAAGGTGCATTCATTGGCCAAGACAGAGAATGCCACAGGTGTAGGTGATTACCGCCCCATCACCATTTTTGGCATGACATACAGGGTTTGGAGCAGTTTGCAGTCCAGACACTTGCTGCAGTTTGCCGACACTTGGGTTGATGATAGCGTCTTTGGCAACCGCAAAGGTCGCCAGGCCTCCGACCTGTGGAGCCAACTGTTGCTGCAGATTGATGAAGCATATGCCTCCAATTCTGCCCTTTCTGGCGTCTCCGCTGACCTTGAGAAGTGTTTCAACTGTATACCCCGGTTCCCTGCCCTGTGCCTTGCGGTGTTGGTTGGTACTCCTGCTGAAGTCACTACAGCCTGGAGTGGAGCTTTAGCCGACATGCGACGTCATTTCAAAATCCGTGACTCCTACTCTGCGGGATTCTTGACCTCCACTGGGCTTGCTGAGGGTTGTGGATTGTCTGTCTATGGGATGCTCCTTGTCGATCACCTGTTTGCTTGCTGGATGCGTGTCCAGGCTCCTGCTGTGCAATGTTTGACTTATGTCGATGACTGGCAGACAGTCACGTCTGATCCAGCGTTTGCAGTCCGTCAATTGGCTTTGGTTGAACAATTTGTGGGTTTGATTGACCTTACGGTCGACAAAAAGAAGACCTTTGGGTGGTCCACTTGCCCTGATGTCCGCAGTTCCATGCGAGCCTCTGGCATTGCTGTCTCTCATCATGCCCGTGAACTTGGTGGACACTTTGGAATTTCCAGGCAGTACACCAATCGCACTCTGAAGCAACGGTTTTTTGACTTGGAGGACTTTTGGGGTAAGCTGAAGCAGTCCAAAGCGCGACATGCCGCCAAAGTTTTCATGCTCAGGGCTGTTGCTTGGCCGAGGGGTTTGCATGCTGTTGCCAGCGCACCTGTGGGCGACCAGGTTTGGCTTACTTTGCGTAGGCGTGCCGTGAGTGCCCTTGGTTGGAAGCGGCCTGGGGTTAATCCGTCGGTTTTTCTTGGTTTGGTTGAGTCTGCTGTCGATCCCCAACTTCTTGCGGTTATATGGACTCTCCGTACTACTCGTACACACTGTCCTGGCGATTTTTGGCAGACCAATGTTGCTCCAGTTGCTCATGGGGACTTGGACTCTCCCCCCAACTCGTTGGGTTCCATGGCACTCATGCGTGCACAATCGGTTGGGCTCCATGTTACCCGTTTTGGGACGCTGGTTGACCGTTTTGGGTCCTTTTGCCCCCAGTCCTGCAACCCTGCGGAAATTGATTTGCGCTTGCAATGGGCTTGGCAGGCAGTTGTTGCTCAGAAGGTCCACCACAGGGCCGACTTCGCTGGTCTGTGTCAGGTTGATGTTGCTGCTACGCGCAGGGCCCTTTCCAATTTGAGTGCTGATGACCAAGCCATGTACCGATTTGGTCTCTCTGGGGGCCTATTCACTGAACGTTATAAAGCTCAATGGACTGACCAGTCCGACGCTTGCAAGTGGTGTGGGCAAACTGACACTTTGCGCCACCGTTTCTGGGAATGCCCCCAACATCATGACCTTCGCGCTCTCCATGCCCCAGACCTGCCTGACCTGTTGGATTTGCTCCCCCCGGTCATGTCCTTGCGTGGTTGGGCGGTTTTGCCTCCTACCTGGCATGAGTGGATCAAGGTCCTTGTGGATTTACCTGCTCTTCCTCCTCCACCGGCCGTCCCGCTCTGCCCGGGAGCTTGGAATGATGTCTTCACTGATGGGTCTTGCCTTCACCAAGCCTGTCCTTTGTATCGGTGTGCTGCTTGGTCTGCGGTCCTTGCGTCCCCTTTCCATGCCGATTGGACTCCTGGTCATGCTGCCGTTGTTGGTGCTGCCTGCCTGCCTGGTGTTTGTCAGACTGCCTACAGAGCTGAGCTGTACGCGGTTGCTTATGTACTGCATTGGGCGGCCACTCAACAAGCTCCTGTCCGCATTTGGACAGATTGCCGGGGCGTGCTCAACAAGTTTCAACTGCTGGTGTGGGGATACAAGCGCCTCAATGTGAACCGCAGCAATGCAGATTTGTGGGCTTGGGTCTTACAGTCGGTGGAACGCCTTGGCAGACACAGGATTCTCATCAAGAAAGCCCCGGCTCACCGCACTCTGCAAAGTGCTCGAACGCGTCATGAGGTTTGGATGATTGCAAACAATGCTTTGGCTGATCGGGCTGCGCGCCTTGCCAACCAAGCTCGACCTGTTGCTTTTTGGGAATTTTGGGAGCGCCAGGTGCAGAGCAGTGTCAGTTTCACCGGAGAGCCTGCTGATGCACCTGTCAGGCAGACCCGCGAGTTTCAGGTACAATTTGTGCTTGGGCCTGGGATTGGACAACCCCTGCCTGTTACAACACGGCTGTATGGCCCTGAGTTGACACAGAAGTTGGAACAATGGTTTTTTGCTCGCCTTGCTGAAGATCACCAGAATGCAGTCTGGGTTTCAATCACCCAGCTTTATCTGGATTTTCAACTGACATGGGGACACCCTGGACCTTTGCGTGTCAACAATCAGTGGGTCAATACAGACCACCGTCCTTATCTTGCTGCAGAAAATTTTTCATTTCGTTTGCGGGTTCGCTGGTTCAGGCAATTCCTCAAACAATATTGGAAAGAATCTAGGGTGACCCTGGCCTTGGAACAATGTAGGCCATGCTCTGAGCTGCTACAGGCCTACCTCCCTGCTGCCTCGGTCCCTTGGGATAGTCGTGCCTTGCAAGAAGTCGAACGGTGGCTTGGTTCCCACTTGACCTCGCCTTGTGTCAGGAACGCTGTTGTACTTCGGAAACTTCCTGTCGCTACGAAAAGTAGCTGCATGGCGATCTAACCGCCCTTGGTGCTCTGCTGGACCGCCCTGTCTTGGATGCTTCGCTCCAACAATGAGCAAGCATGCGGATCGAAAAATCTGGCGAAAAATCTGGTGGTTTGGAACTTTTTTTTTCCATATATTGGGAATGTCATCATCCCAACTGACTTTCATATTTTTCAGAGGGGTAGGTCAACCACCTAAACCAGCAATTACAGAGGATCCCACCAACGTGGATACAAAAGTGGTGATACAAAAGTGACGGCGAATATTGGATCAATCATCGTTGCAATGAGTATACCATCCACTACTCGCTCCCATGAGGTGGGGGGCCCTGCTAAACCTCACCCTTCACCAACCATGACTGGGTGTCCTTTTAAATCATGGTATACACAACAGTAAACCTCTATTAGGGATGGTTTAATATAGTTATCCTACATTCCAAGTAACTATCCATGGGATTCTCCCAGGATCATCCCATATTCACCCATGTTTTCTCAGTAATATCAGTAAATATATCAGTAATATCATAGGGTACTATTCCTCATAATAGTTTTCCATGAATATCATCCATGTTATGATGATTACTAGTGATTATGGATCATCCATGATCACCCCTGCGTTTAGCACCAGTAAGTTTATAGCCCACTATTCCATACTATTCCTGGATTTACCTCATCACTATACTATGCATCTTTCAGGATGCAAAGAATCACGGGAATCGCCACGGAGATCCCCCTGGCAGACGGGTCTTTGGTGCTTTGGGCCGAAAAACTGGGCGCGCCAAGGGAACCTGGAGAATGGAGGAAAATTATTGGTTAACTAGGGTTTATATGGATGTTTATAGGGGATCATATGATACAACATGATTAACATTATCTAATTGACTATAGTTTATGGATGTTTTTGGGGATAACCTGATATAACTAGAGTATATTATGATGCTTATGGGGAGATAACATGTTAATGGGATAATGGGTTTATAAGGCTTGTTTATCCCTGGGCCTCATCTTGTAGGGATGGACACCAGGATGAAAATGACGGGGATTTAAAGCGGCATGACATGGGACGAAATGGGACGCACCATACTGCTGTTTTTTTGAGACTTGATTCACAAGGACTTTTTTTCGCAAAACTTGAAAGTTCAAGAGCTGCTAATGGACAGGAATATTACATATGATTGTTTGAACATGCAACAGGTGCGATATCAGTTGTCATTTGCCAATGCTAAGGGGCCCGCTAATAGACTTTTCAACCCCAAGAGATAGAGATGTGTTATTGTGCGATGTGTCGATTAAACTATCAAAGTTGTCCATATGGGGTTCCCAAAAATGGGAGATCCCCAATAGCTGGATGTTTTTTTTCATGGAATTTCATGGAAAAGCCCCATGAAAATGGATGATCTGGAGGTACCCCCATGATGGCCCCAAAATGATTTAGGAAACCTCCATATAAATCCATATACCCTCTGGTAAACTAAGATAGCTATGGAAATTCACCATCTTTAAGTTCGGTAAATCAACTATTTCCATGGGCCGTTTTCAACTTCGCAAACTGTAACAGTCATTACGAGTCATTACCAGAGAGTAACACCATGGGTTTTCCATGACCTGCGGCCCTGCGGCTTGGTCGTAAGGCAGGGTGGTTTACTCAGCCGTGGCCGAGAATCCCGAGAATCCCGAGAATCCCAGGCCACAGCAGGTGGTGACTTTTGGGACACCCAAAAATGGCCATATCTTGCCATATCAATCAGGAAATCATGGGAAAATCAAGTGGGAAATCATGGGAAAAGATCTTCCACACTCCATTGTTTAAATTTAAAATAGTTTTTGAGGTTCCATGTTGGATTTCAGCAGTGTATCTCCCCCCTTTTTCCCGCTGAAGTGTGACCATCCAAATAATGAGGCGTTTTGATTTTGTTCAGTGCCATTAAACCCCATCATTCTTTATGGTAAATAATCACCAAAAAACAAAATCCAAATGCTACTGAAGATCTTATTAGAGATCCTACATTATATGGATCTTGTATTTGGTCTAATAATACTACATTAAGGTTGAAGATTTCCTACATCTCAATGGATGTTGGCATTTTGCCAAGCGATCCAATGAATCCTCCGCGGTGTCCTCCGCAACAGACTGGCGTGGCACCGGCGGTTCGCGTCACAAGGACAACAATGAAGCAAGCGTTTTTGGATGGTTGGAATCCCACCAATAAAATCCCATAAACATATATCAAAATGGTGATTTTGGGGATTGTTTATGGCATTGGGTTTACATGGGTTAACCAGGTTATTGGCTGTCAGTTGGCGACATTGCAAATATATATATATACACATATAATATATATATATATAGCAATCCTCAAAAAGATAGAAGTTCATAGAATCCCGCTGAAACAGTGCTGAATCACTTACCTTTATAAGTATACTGATATTAGATTGATATTATCGTTCAGCCCCCCGAATCCCTACAAATTCAGAAAAAAAACATGAAAAAAAACAGGAGCACGTCTCCTTCCTTGCCCGGTGTAACTCGGATGGGGGATCCTTGCAGTTCTTGTGGCATTGGTTAATCCAGTTGGATCGGTGTAGCAGATGAACGTCCACCCAGAAAGCTGGGTTCCTGTTGATTCACTTGGTCCCAAAGATCATTGGGTAGTATGATATTGGGACGGCATTTCGCACACATTTCAACAAATACATGGATCAATGACAACACATCAATTGATACGGAGATTGGGCAAGCGCACAACGCTTCAGGAAGACAGGCATAAAGTTTTGTTTGGCAAGCACACCCCTGGCTGCCTCCAAATCGCATGACTATGGTAATTAAAAATTGACCACTACTTATTCAGTGTTCCTTTCATGTAATATATATATATATACACAATTGAGCAGTGTTCAACCACCCGGAAGATGTTGGATCTTTTTAGTTATACTACCCTGTACAGTATATCAATGGTTAACATCGTCCATGTATATATAGTATAATGGAATGACATTGCGAATTTGAAGTCCATTATTAATTATGTATATATATATATATACATATTGCCGGTATATCATGCTTACACATACATAATATATATATATATAAATCCTAAGTGTTGCCACTATGCACCGTTATAATCCATTATCCCAATTATTTGACCATTATTCAAGTTTTTGGGGCAATTACATGCAATTAGCCAATCCCGACTAAATAAATTGGTTTATGACCGCCATCAATTAAAACCTATACCTACCAAAACTGGTTGGTGGTTTCGAACATGTTTTCCATATATTGGGAATGATGATCCCAACTGACTTTCATATTTTTCAGAGGGGTGGGTCAACCACCAACCAGAAAAGACATAAGCCTTAGTTAAACTGGCATAGAACTGAACTGCCGTTGACCTAACAAATTCCTGCTGAAGCTTTGCAAAATCTCCGAGGGCAGATCGCAGCTAAGGGGATCCAGGTGCCAGGGTGGACAGTGGTCAAAGATACTCAAAGATTGTAATTAAATCGTTACAGTTAGATGTCCATAAAGATGGTAAATATATGTAAACCGCTAGTCCAAGTCCATCTCTAATATTGAAAAATCAGTTGGCTTCTGTCTGGGAATGGTCTTGCAAAGGTTTGCAAAGGGCATGGCGAGTGTGTCAGTGTGTTGCCAGGGCTGCTGCTGGAAGCAATAGCAGAGAGGTAGAGGTTTTGTCCTTTGGATGCACCGAGAGAAAGGAACTGAAACTGTGATGTCTTTGCAATGGCAAGCTGGGAAATCCATGGAAATCCTCTTTAAATGAAGCAGGTGGGACAATTTTTGAAATCCGTTCAAATTTATATAGTAACTTAGTGCAATTTCTACCATGGGAACATAATGGAAAATCAGCTGTAAACATAATGGCTAGTCGTGAAATCTGGACCCGTGACACTGGGAGATTCAATTCCTGGCTTTGAGGTTGAAGATGGACGCAGAAATCCCCGAACTTAATGGAGGATTTCATCATCGAGATAAATCTGGAGGTTTTTCATTAAGCCATGGATTCTTGGAAGATATCCCCACAAAAAAGATGGAAGATGAACATTTTGTTGCACTGGTGGACACAGCCAATAGCCGCGCCAATTACAGTAATATCATGTAATGGTGCGATATCCTCGGGTTTCAGTGGACCTTTATGATCCGATCCATGGACTAGCGATATATGAGATTTGTCCAGCACCAATGAGATCCAGCTGTTGAAATGTGCTACTGACAAGATCAAAAAGACGGCTACCGATATATCCAAAAAACATTGGTGATTTGGTTGGTGGTTTTAGCTTGTTTTTTCTATTGGTTTCTCCCGTTAAATCCTATCCATTGTTTTTCCGGTTGTTTGTTTTCAGATGTTTCTTCACCTTGCAAGAGTGATCTTTGCAGAAGCCTAGTCAGTACCAGGAAGGCGCAAATGCAGAGCATCCGGCGAATGCAACTCGAGACTCTTACGCAGCTTGGGCGAGAAGGATGTGGGGGCCTATAGCCAACCCAAATGCCGGCATAAACAATATAATATAAGCGTCAGCTTAAACCATATCATCAAATCGAGACTCTTACACTTGTATTTGGGTACACTTTTTGCAATGTTAGATGTGTGCATGTTACAGCTAATTAAATGATCTTATTATTTGGTATTTTTTGAGCATTGGCCAACATGAATATCCATGCATTGGTGGAATCTCAACCCCACGAAGCGTCGGGAGGAGATGACGATCTGTCAGGTTCATAGTGTCATTTGTATGCCATGTTTGCAGATAAATTGTCCATTCCACATCGTTGTAGTTGGTGGAATACATGTCCATACCAATTTTGTTGGTTATATACTGTTGGCTTCAAACTCGTATTTATCCCCTTTTTTTGGACAGAACTCATTGGAGTCTAATCCCTTTCCCCCATGTAAACATCACCAAGAAGGGACCCCAAAATTACGAGATCTAATGCCGGCAATTGAGGTGGTAAACCCAATAACGAGCCATCCGCAATTCCACCAGAAATAGGTCCAAACAGGTGGTATAAAAATAGAAAAAAAAAACACATCCCCAAGTGGAGGTTTATGGCGTTGGGTTTACCAGATGGGGATGGGTCGAAACCATGATATTATCATATTTCGGGGTATCAACATCCAGAGCTAGACCACGTTATATAACATCCAACACCAGCTATGTGTTGCGCCATTTGACCAAGCGCCACTTGAGGAAGCCGCATCTACGTGGAGCAGGGCGCTTTTCCAACGCCTGCCGAGAGCCGGCGCCAAGGGAAACTTTGATCAGCGTTCGTTGCTGCCAATCTCCAAGACTACCATCCGGTAATCAAACACATGCAACAGCAAACTCCACCATTTGTTGATATTTTATTTTGGTTTTCCGTTAAAACCCTCATAGGAGATTTCCCAGCTATATATATATATATACACACAGCCATGTTTGATTTCCAAAGGGTATATTAGTTTAGCATAGTTCAGCTGTATCCCCCTGCTATGTTCATCTCCAAGGATCAGCGTAGCACTGCAGCTCCGCCAATAGAATTTATAGGCGACGCGATGCTGAGCAGTTGCGAGTATGGCTTGACCCAAAAATAATAATTATATAACCAATAATCTGGCGGCAGGGCATGTCTTGTCGCATTTTGTCGCATTTTCTTGGGGTTGTACAGTAGATGATGTTATTCTGCAATTAGTGTGCATGCGTATATATTTTCTTTATCGTCTAAGTGTTTTATTATAAACTCCAAGTTCAAACACGGAAATTATATGAAACATATTGGCAGTTCTTGAGTGCATAGTGTTTATCCTTCATAAAACATGGCTAAGATATCCCCTCAATTTCAATCATAGCTGCTCTGTATAGAAGTTCTTGGTGGCCGCTCCGCAGGCTGCCGGGAGGCCGTAGAAACCGCCGCTGCGCAGATCCTGCAACGCCACTGGCGAAAACAACGGCGACGGCGTGGACCCTGTGGACCCTGTGGACCTGGAGCGGAGCGGAGGTTTCGGCTGAAGGGTTGGGGCCGTTGGGGAGCGCCGGGCAACATTTCTCACATTTCATGGGATTCAATGGAGATGTTCATGGGAATTCAACATGATTTGACATGAAGAAGTCTCAGTATCAAAGTGTAACCTATCACCAATACCTACAAATCTTCAATGTTGTTTTTACATACGTAAAGATAAGCTTTGTTTTACATCACCAATAGTCAACAAATACAATGGATTAAAGCTGCACAGGTTTTAACCAGTGAAGCTTGGTTTTCAAACTGCATACGGAGTCCTGTGAGCTGTACCAGGTACAGGTATCACAACACTCAATCCAAATGACCCACTCACGTTGGCAACTGGTTTGCAACGCTTGGTAATTGGTTGTTATTCTGGAACATACGTTCGATATCCTTCCAATATTTGGATGTACTACCACTGCCCACCACTCTTGACCATACCGACAGGGTCATGGCAGTGGAAGCTATCCAGCCGTTCCCCCATGGCATCCATGGCGGTTAAGCCTTTTTCAGGGGGCAGATTTCTGACAGGGTTGGAAACAAAGAGCGACTTGGATGTTTCTTTTACATAGCTTGGGGTTGTACATTGACTCGTTCCTTTGTCCTGGGAAACAAAACAGCCATCAGCCGGTGTCCATTGAGTGCTTGATTTGATGACAGGTGCAACAGTCTGAGAGCAATCGAGAAGTTCAGATGCTTGTTTGATTTGGCGCTTGGATGTGGGTCCCGATGAGTTAGCAAGTGGGCAATATGGCAATAATAACCATATTATCTTCCATTTATATGCGTCATATACATCGATATACTCCATTACATATGGGAAAACAGCCTGCCATTGGGATGCACTCCCAACAAAGCACTCGGACGTTGCCCACTAGCACAACGGAGTGCGTTGTTTGAGCAGTAACCAGCTGTTGCAATAGCACTGGAAATCAGTGACAGGGTACCCCAGGGATCTACTGCCTGTGTCCTTAGACTGGAGATTCGCCTTGGCCGCAGTTACAACTGGACATTGCCCCTACTTACCCTACTGAACTGGGGTGAACTAACCCATTTGCGATTGGGGTGAACGACCAAGTAGCACAGCCACAAAGAAACAGAGTGTTGAGCTCTTCCACACGGTGTTTCTGACGCTCTCCTACGTTTGATTCCGTGGTTTAAGGGAAAATCGGCAGGAAACCCGCGTACATTGATGGGTCAAAAGTCAAAACCAGATTTTCCTGTAGAATTTCCTATTAAACCACTCGATTGTCTGATTCTTTGTTCCATCCTTTGTCACGGGATAACTCTCGAATGATTCCAGTAATTGATGTAAAGAAACATGTTCGGGAGCCCTGGCATTTCGTCTTAAACTGACAAATTTCTCTGGAGATAATTTTGGTGTCCAAAAACTGGCCTTACACCTACGTCCTACGTATCAAAAATAGGGATACGTGTGGTTACTTGCAACCCACCTGTGGCTGATGGTTCCATGGTACTCAAATCAGATTAGTAAGTGGCTTATAGCTCATATTACTTACTATCAAAAACCATTTGTTATTTAGTATTTCATAGTGATTCTCTGGTTAGTATCGTTATAGGTTTATTGTATAGCTTCTAACCCAGCAGTTGGTGTTAATTCCATCATTTGATTGGAGGGTTGTATAAATATATGAAGCTACAACCAATGGGTATATCTTTAGTACAAGGTTATGCATGTTTAACGGTTAACACTTTGCATTATTAATATTCACCATCATGAACCATTCTTAAGCTTACTATTTAACCCTCATTAACCATAAATTGGGGTCAGAAAATAGTCATAGTACAGTTTTAAGTTAGAATTATGTAATGCATGTACGAATTACCAAATAATTTCCATGTTTGATTGGCCAATATTAACCATTACTAACCATCACTAACGATGATTAACAACAAAAACATTATTCATTGCCCTTATTAACCATTAATGGTATACTTGGAAGGATCACCTCACTTAGTAGCTGGGGTTAGCAGCCAAAATCATACTTACAAGTTATAAAGAATCCATGTACAAGTCACTAAATGATTATACAATAAGTTATAAACCTGGTTAAGTTAAAATGAACTTAACAACAAGTGCTGGTTAAATTTCCTAACGATTCAAGATGAATTAAAAAACTTAAGTTTATGGTTAAGGCATGACATTTCTGCAGTGGGCCCGCAGGTCCCCAGCGGCCTTGGGCGCACCACGCGGCGGCGCGGATCCAACGTGCTTGGCGCGTCTGGAACTGGCGCAGGGCCTTCGTGGTGTACTCGGAGCAGGCCCGGTGGCCGGGTTATGGCCATGGGAAATCCATGGGAAAACCGGAGGAACATGGTGATTTAACCAAGAAACATGGAGACTTCATTGGATTTTATTGGGATATGATGGGAATATCATGAGGATATAAGACCTATCATTTTATAAGGATATTCGATGGGAATGCCATTTGAAAGGTTGATTTATGATAATTTGTTTCCAATCATCCCTTCGAACAGTCGAGATATTGTATGGGATATGTAAAGTAGAATCCCTGTAAACATGAATGCCCCTTAAATATCTAGCCTCCGGTAATTTTCACATAGCTGTGGGATAGACAGCCCAATTTTAGCTAGCAAAAATTGTGATTTCCATAACAAAGTGTTAGATTACCAGAGGGGAAATTTCAGTTTCTAGATAATTGGGCTATGTTTTTCCCATTCAAAACCTCCAAGTTTTCCCATGTTTCAAGGTTCGATGATTACCTGCAGGATCATTTCACTTGGTATAGTGGTTAGTCAACCTGGTCCAAGAAGTGGCTTCTAATTAATGTTTACCTTAGTTCCTAAGTGGGTAGTTTTTTTTTTTAATCGCTGTCCATTGCTGCAGATTGGTTGGCTCGGCCACTTCGACTGGCTGCTTCGCCACCGGAAGGTGCGCGGGTGGAAAAAAAATGAAACGAGCCGAGACGAGCTCACTGGCCTTCCGTTAACGTAAATGATGTGTATACATGGTTAGGATATCTATTATATATATATACTGATAAATGCATACATATGAATACACTATATATATATAGCACTCACACACACACACATATATAATGCAAATATTTATCATGTATATTTTTACATCATATATATATATATATTCATTTGTGTATACATATTGTATGCATATTTATATATATATATGTTTGCATATATACATATGATATAATAGGTAACACCAAGAAGTATAGAACAGGTTCAACTCATCACAGTTTTGGGATTGAATGTGACCACATTGGGGGGTCGCTATGTATGGCTTTGTTTATATGCAAATCATGAACACATTTTGTTCAATAAAACGTATTTCTTGGAACGCTTTTATACATATCATATCTAAAGGTAAGCGATATCAAAATATACAAAAAAATTAAGCCGGGAGATGTTATCCCATATTTCAATGGATTGCTTTCAGGGAAAATTTACAGGAAACCTTACATTTTTCATAGTAAAATCGATTGTTTCTGGTTAAGATGTTCCCTTAAACCAATCCATTGACATATTCGCCAAGTCTGAACTCACCAGTTTCAAGATGTTTCAAGTGTGAAATTCTGGAAATTTCTGTCGTTGTAGACAAGTTCCATCCACCTTATGTGATGATTAGACTCATCTTAAGAGCATGTTAAATGGAATCCCCAAGTTCCTTGGTTTCACATGTTTTCTTCGAATTGGATGGAAACAAATGCAGGAAACCCTGATATGTAGAAAAATCAATGGTTTTCCCGGGTTTTTCCATGGTTTTTCCATGGTTTTCCCTTCAAAATCCCATGGGATCCCATGGGCAAAGCCCCGTGAAACGCCGCAGGTCTTCGGCACGGAGCTGGCCAGCGCAGAGGACGCAGCCGTTTGGAGCCAGGAGAAGCGCCACGCGCCGCCGGACGCAGAGATCGATCCCTGGGGACATAGGGAGCTGCGAAGACACCTGGCGGTGCCTTGGGAGAGGAGCTTGGGAGTTGGGGAGGTTTGGGGGCATTTCATGGCATTTCATGGCATTTCATACTTTCAAAATTGGGGATTTCATCCACATTTTATCCACAAATGTGATTGTTTTTGTTTTTTTGGGAAAAATATGGAGTGTTCATCAAGAAATCCATGGGTAAAATGTTCACGGAAAAACCAAGAAACATGGAATATCAAAATGGATCATATTGGAGGATTGGTTTAACCATGACACATTGCTATTTCATCCGGGATTTCACCAACAACAGTTGGAATATGTATGATTGATCACTTGATATCAATTGCCTCAAAAACCTCTAATTATTGGTTGTGCATGGTTTGGATCCCCCAATCGATAGGTTTCATGAAAGAGTAGTTGTTGATGCTTCAACCATCAATTCTCCAAAATTACATGGTCAAGCTCCCCTGTTTGACGATTTTTCCTCGCTTTTTCATGGTTTGAAATCATTCATCTACCAAGGGCTTGTTGGTGAAACTGTCAGAAACCTTCATTTTTTTCCATGAAATCCATGCATTTTTCTGCCCTTGTCATCCCCAGCTGAGGCCCAAAGTTCCGCAGTTTCCGGAGCGGCGCCGGAAACCGCCGCGGAGCCGCCGTTGAAGGCCAGAGCACACTGCGTGGTGGGGGCACATCTGTCGGAGAGGCTGCGAAGGAGTGCCATGTGCCACGACTGAAGGATCGTTGGTTTGTACTGTAACCCACTTAACATCCTTAACTAGTATATATATATATATATATTATTAATGTATCATCATGCATATCATAAACCCTAGCTTTTGGACGTATAAACGAACGTAGCAAGCGAACGGGGTAATGTTAAGGAACCCATATGCTCCATGGTGCTGGAATATTTACACACAGCTACCCGCAAAATATCCCAAATGTAGGTAAAAATCCCTTAAGATATACCATACATGGAGCATATGGGAAAAGGATGAAGAAAAGCACAATCAATTTGTTTAGCAGGGAGGGTGTCAATTTTAGAAGGGTGAAACGTGTGATGCTGCAATGGCATTCTGCTTTCCCACCAAAGAGGTGGCTGCTGGATGGCACTGATTCACACCGCCATCCAGAGCTACTTGCTATGCCGATGTTTTTATATTTTGCTGCAGACGATTGGACTTATTTACTTCGAAAGCATTGCAACCCTGAAAACCATTCTTGTCAAGTCATCCTCAAATTTCCAGACAGTGTGCAACCCTCCTCCATTTTCCTCAAGAAACTCACTGTCTCACCTTCCCAGATCTTCCCAAATTTTCTGTTGATTTGTTTGTGTATGGAGCTTTCCCGCTTGGAACCTACCCTCTTAATCTATTTTATTTATCATTCTTCCATCTTTGCAATAGGTATCCCCAATTATCCGTTTTCAAGAAGGCACATCCAGATCTTCCCAGGAAGCCCAGCAAAGATGACTCCAAGTTGTGCAAAACCATCAGCAGCTTGGAGCCTCCAGCCCAGCGTCCCCGCATCATGACGCAACGCTACAGCGTGGCATTGGGCGTCGGCGCCGGCGCGGCGGCCGCGCTGCTGTCGCCGCGCTGTGACTTCCGGTCAACCTTGGAGGTGGGAATCTGTCAGCCATGGCCCATTCCTGGTGGATTTTCCAAGGCAGATCCAGGTGGTTTTGTATAGCCCAAGATTGCAGGTTGGACGGGGAAAATGATGATCGATTCTGATAGATCATTGGACTTTCGCAATTACCCTCTTTTCAGATCTTTTCAGAGGAATCTAGATTTAATATCACAATGTGGTGCCACCGATTATAAGTTTGTTTATAACCCCCATAGGCCCATAACTGTAACTAGTTCGATATACCACAAACCCAAGAGTTGTTCGAGTTATATAGGTTTTTCACATCAGCAAAAAACACATCACTGGAAAGTTCAGGACCCCAAAATGGAGGTACTGTACCATATAATATAAGGCAATAGTTTGTGGGAGATACTCCCTTTTATAGCCAAAAAACAACAGAACACTTAGCCAACAAAATCAATCCAACCACTCGCCAACATCCAGGCGCCAGCGGCGCCAGCTGGGACAACAGCTGTCCCCATTCTGCGTCCCGCCTGGACGTCAAGTCAAGCGGTCTTAGCTCAGGCGGCTTGGGGTCCCAAGGGCCCAAGGGTTATCCAAGGCAAGCTGGTTGAGTTTGCAGCTTAATTGTCCGTGAGCATTTTTGGCTATGATTGCATGTTAGTATATTTGCCCTAAAAATGGGATGGTTAATGGTTATCAAGTTGATCCAAATTCATTTAACTCTCTAGCCGATAGAGATCCCAATAGATCTACAGTCATTCTGAAGTAGATAATACATGAATGTTAAAAACTATTTTCATGTGAGTCTTTTCTCTGAATTTCCGGAGTTTATTTTCTCCAGGATAAGTATAAATAGACTCCTTATGGGTCCAAAGCCTTTCTGAGAAGGTACTTGGCACCCAAAATCATACCCTAAATACTGCCTCAGAAGGTAGGACTTTATTTTTCCCTAATTTGACACCACTGAATTGGTCTAGGTGAACATCTACAGAAAAGCCATGAATTTCCCATGATTTTGCTATGAAAAATGTGGGTTTCCAGCAAATTGTCCCTCGAACCAATCAGGCTCCCTGCGGCCCGCTGCTGCGCTGCCGCGCGCGGACGCCACAGCCCACTCCGCGACCGATGGTGCGGCTGTTGACGCAATCACCGCGATGGGCTCACAGTGCCACGGTGGCAGAGAAGGAGGTAGCCTGCAGTGGCCGAGAAAACGTGGAGAAAAGCAAGAGTTATAGTCCGATGATTTTTCCAGCTGTAAATATCTATAAATCTCCATTTGGCAAAATTGTCTCCAGTGATTCGCGCTGCGTTTTTCCCTTTCTTGAACCATATGTGGTTTATTTCGATAGTTTCAATGCCCAGAAAATGCCCGTGACTCATTTGAACCCTGACTTCATGAATTATCACTATAGCAACGCCCAAAAGATGCAGAAGTTCAATTTTAGCACCAAAAAAGGATTGGAGTTTCATTCTACTGTATCTTTTTGGGGGTTGCTTTACAAACTGGGGGTGGTCAAATTTGAGTCCCAAAGGACCTTCGATGTGGCTAACTTGGTGGTAGTCGAGGTCAGTATATGAGTTGAAATCTGATTTCTTAACGCTCCAACCAAAATTTGCACCATGGGTATTTGATTCAACCACTTTCACCTCTTTTTAGCACCAAACATCTCAGTTTGTTGATGGCTAGACCGCTGAAAACTGGAACACCAAAATCTGCAGGTCCCAGCCCCTCGTCGCGGGCTTCGGTGGCGCATGCAGCTGTGGCGCTGGCAATGCCGTGGAAACTGCCAGGAGGGGTGACCAGAACTGTCCGTGGAACGAACTAAAGATTTAAAGGTTTGGGGCTGGACATGGGTCCAGCTGGGGGATCTTAAGTAATGCCTAAAAAAATGCAAAATACATGTCATGATTTATGTAGGTGTATTCAAACATTGGATTTTATTCTTACTCTGCCAGTGTTTTTCATGTGGTTGCAACGGCCCTATTAAGCCATAATCCCATTGAATTTGATCATCAGCAATGAGGATTTAAGCAAAGAAATATAGAGGAATCACAATGAAACCATTTAAGTATCTAGATATCAAGCAACCACACGGCGGAGTATTTAGCACAGAAGTAGTTGATCTATGTTGATCTAAGTTCTGACTGATAAACTGCTAATAAGACCCACCGTAACAAGCAGCTTCTCTCGCGGTAGCGTCTCAAAGGTGTTGTCCTGTAAATTACTTCGGAATGTGAGCTTCAGGGATTCCAAAATGGGTTCTGCCTGCTTTTTTGGAATGATAAATAAAACCACATAAAACCTGTTCCTTGCCAACCTGATCCAACAGTCCAATGTTGCTAGCAAAAAGTCCCGGTTTTATTTTATGTGTTTGACCAATCTCTTCCTTATACCCTTAAACAGGTTAATTTCCAGACCGGTGTTTTGGTTTTCTAGTGCCATGAGAGGCACGGTCCCCTGCCGCTGATGCCAGCTGTGAAGTCAACTTCACCGTGATCGATCGTTCTGCAATATTTTCTCATCACACATGGGCGTGTCTGGAAATTGGGCTACCCCAGCTATGGCCAGATTTTGAATAGGGAAGATAATGAAACACCATAAGATGTGTTTTTTTGCTCCCTTAAATTTTGAGACAAACCCACAGCGGTTCCGGTTCTCATCAAGGTCGGATTGACAGCACGGATGGACCTGTGTTAGATTTCCACTACGAAGATGAAGTTACGTCCACTGCGCAACAAAATCCAAGCAGAAACCATCAGAAACCATTAAGCCGTTGTAATTGTACGATATGTGTATATAATAATATTATTGTAGAATATGTGTAAAATATAACATCGATTGATTGTATTCATATACAATCAAATATGTATGATATACATTGATATACACATATACATATATATATACCCCAGAAAAAATGGTAGAAGGGGGAAGCTAGGACAAGACAGGTTGTAGGTCAGGTGGGAGGCTGTTATGTTTTTGTTCAATCTTGTAATCTGAAATGTTTGATTGTTTCTTTTTGATTATCTTGCTAAATGTTTTGTTGAGGTTGTTGTAATAATGTTTGGTTTCAATGAGGGTAGGTTTTGTTGAGGGTGTTTTGCTTGTTATGGTTTCTAGGTTTTTTTTCAACATTTCTTCCTTTCCTTTGATGTTTTTTGTGTTGTATGTTCTGGGGATTTTTTGTCCCTAACTTTTCTGGGACTTTGGGTTTGAATAAGGGTAGGATTTGTTTAGGTTGTTGTGTTTTAAGCATCTGGATGTGAGGGGAATGTTGCGTTAAGGTAGTCTATGATTTCTTGGTGTTTTATTCGTTTCAGTTCTTCATCCGTTTTCTTTTGTTGTTCTATTTGTTTTGGGTCAGGTTTGTTCAGGTTGTTTTTATGACGTTGGGTTCTTTCGTGTCTTAACATTTTGTTTCTGGAAATGTCAATCTTACAAATAGGACATGCAACCTTTTCTTTCTGTTTCTCAAGTTTCTGTCCTTTGTATTGTTTATAACGTTCCCGCTGTTTTTGTCTTAATTCTTCTCGGTGATTTTCTCTATATTGTTGTTTATATTCAGAATATTTTTGACATAGTGCCTTTCCATTGTCAAAGTTGTCCAGCGGCTGTGTATTTTTACATTTTGAACATTTCCTACCTTTATGTTCGTTCATTAAAGTGTTCTGGGACTATATCTTTAAATGGGTTTCTGGGTCTCAAAGATTACTTTATAATATGTTTAAGCGGAAGTTCCACTGTTTCATGACTTTGGCAGAGCTGAATGTCCTTCAAACTCTTCTTGCACATCATCACAGCCTTGGAGCATTGCACCTCGTCAGCACTGGTGTTCTTGCAGTCCCAGACTTCTGCTGTCTTGTGTTGCATTGCATCACATTGCATGACATGACCTGTTGCTCATTGCATTTCGCAGCACTGGCTGTTGCTCAACATGTGCAGACAAAAACGCTAAATTCCTCATGGCTTCGAGAGCTTGGGCGTGGTTTCGCACTAATGCAGCACCGCTGACGCCCGTTGTCGGCGTCTTAGCCTGCTATGCGTGGAATGCAACTGAGACGCAGGGCATGGCACGACAAATCCGCAGAGGACACTTCCAACCAAAGACTCCTGCGGACTACGACCACCGGTTTTGCCTGTTTGACAGGTACATGATGGAGAAAGCTCGGATGGTCGGCCTTGTTGGGCTGAAATCTACAGGAAAGGCCAGCACTTTGTCGCACTTCCTGAGAGAGAAGCCGAACCCCTTCTACCTGTCGCTCACGGATGGCAACGTCTACGACGCAATGTATGACCAGATGAAAGATTCAGTCCTTCGTCTCCCCTTCTTCGCACACCACCTTCGGTGGGATGCTGGGAAAAACAGCAAGAAGATCGTCATCGAAGTCTTCGAGCTGGTGCAGGAGCAGACAGGCTCGCCGGTGCAGGTGGGGGTGGATGTGGTGTTGCCCGCCAGTGCAGTGGTCTCACCAAAGGCAGACCAAGCAGTGAAGACTGCGCAGAGTGTGCTGTTGGGAACGGCAAGCTCAGTCCCAATTTCCACCGCAATCCACGTCCACCAGCTCGTCAAGGATGTGAAGTGGCTTTGTGCTGACGCGAGGGTGGCTTCGGCAGTCATAGCATCCAGCGAGGGCTTGGAGCTTCTGAGTGTGAATGAGCCAAGACTTGAGAAGCTGATGGCAGAGGAGATGCTGGTCGAGAAAGCCAATGACTACCTCCAGCACATCCACGCCAAGGGCTACACGGAAGAGATGCTCAAGAACATCCCGCGAACCTTCGAGAGCCTTCAAAAGTTCAAGAGAACATTTTGCAAGAACGAGATGAAGGGGTGGATGAAGAAAGTAGAGGAATCTTAAGAGCACTGCTCCCACGACGGCAAGGATGGAGGTCTCAGGGCTGCGAAGGTTCTCTACAGCAAAGCGCTTGTTGGAGCAATCAACTACAGGGACACTCGCCAGCACTGCAAAGATGAGCAGAACTTCATGGCGAATTTCGTGAGACCCAACCTCTTCACCGCCACACCAGCTGCAGAGTACAAGTTCCAATTCAGTTGTGTAGCCGAGGCAGCGAAGACTGTGTTCGGCCTGTAGCCACTGTAAGTTTGAACAGGTACAGGGTGTAGAGCGAACAGCAGAGAGATGCAAAAGTGTGAGCATCAGCATCAGAGCTGTATAGTCTTTGACCCCCAGGGTATATATATATATATATACTGATACTGTATATATATATCTGGGTAAGTAGAGAGCCAAGACCAACTGGAATCTGAAGTCGAAGAGATATTCGTGGCAGACAAGAAGAATGAGAGGAACTGCGAGAATCCTAACAACTGCCAATGTCACAGGATTGCTATCACTCCCTTTCTCCCGCTGTGTGTGTGTTTGTGCGTGTGCTGTAATGTCTCTTGCCTTTGCTTCTGGTGAACAGGTTCCATTACTGTAACTTTTCTTGTTCCCGAATGGGGCCCTGAAACTCCCTCAAGCAGGTTCCATTCGTGGAGAGTGGAACACTATGCCATGCTGGATTGACACCAGCAACCAACCTATGATATGAAGTACATATGAACCTATTGCAAGAACATATTGCAATAACATACATACCATATTATAACAAACATAATTTTACATAAAACACATGTTGATTAATATGATTACATATTATGTCATATTGCTACATATTAGGCCTTAAACAAAAAAAATATTGAACATATATTTGAACATATTAGAAACTAGTATAACATAGTATGCGCACATGTACATAAGAAAATTAAACTATAGCTGGGTTGCAACCTCCTCTTTCAGGCAGCGATATCATGGCAATAGATCACAGTCCATGTGTCTAGTCCATTGATGTGAAAACATCCGAGTTATTCATCGTTGAGACATGTTGAGACAGTGTCCATGTTCCATCATTTCAGGCTTCAGAATCTGAATTACGCATTTGCATCTTGTATTATATTTATATGTATGAATTGAACAATATCATAATTTTTTTCGGCTCTAACCAAAATTATATTCATCATATTCTAATTCATTTTACATTAGAACGGATTCAGAAGGTTGGCTGCAAACCTACGGCAGCTGCCATGCCGTCGCCTTGGGCTAATATGACCCCTGAAGTCATCCGATAAATAAACTATAACGACGTCACTGTGACGTCACTGCAAGTGTTGGATAGTTTTCAGGTTGCTGAACGATGACCATTTACCCTGAATAGATGCTTAACACATGCTAGCATTTGTTTTTAGCTCATGAATGGTGTTTGGACCTGCAACCGCGACGTTCACTCATTGTGTTTATAGTATGATGGTGAACTCACCCTAATTCTGAAGACCCTAGCATCCTATCTCACAATTCTGAAGTAGTTGCTTCAGGGGATGCAGTATTTAGGCAGCGCTCAAAGATAGTGCTGAAATTGCTCCATTCAGATGTGGGGCCATGACGAACGATTCGCGGGTGCCACAGGGGTGAAGAGCTCGAAGAAATGGTTGGATATGTTAGATATACCATCTGGTTATTTAACATAGCCATGGAAAATCACCATTTTTAATAGGTAAACCAACTATAAATGGGCCATTTTCCATGGCTATGTTAAATAACAATACGGTATATTTTTTGCAATGCGATGCAATCTCGGATCAACATATATCAACATATGATGAACATGGAGATTGTGGTATGGTGGCACATTTTGGGTATGAAGGAAAACTGGACCTAGCAACCATGGTCCATGGCAGCAGAAGTTGAAACCAACTGGAAGTGGTATGTGGAAAACCCTGTCTTTTTTAATGCAGCTATATAGTGGAATCAAATATCAATGCTGTTGTTCCATCCAAGTTAGACTGTCAATTTCCCTCTCATGCCATGCCATTGTATGCCATTTTGCATAGTGTTGCCCCTTAGTTGAAAGCATGCCTAAATCAACCATAAACGAATCAACCAATGCCGCAGTCAGAGCTCTTATTCCAAGGGGCGCAACTCACAGTTTTAGATGATAGCTGTGCCCATGTGGGCCGGTTGCCGAGTGATGTGTCGTGATTATGTAATAGATTGTAATAGTGTCACCTCCAAACAGATTGTTTCCAGCACGTTGTTGGCAATGTTTGAACCCCTTTTCCTTTCATTTTGCCCGAGGATCTTCTGTGAAATAAGTTGCTGCTGCGTGACCATTTTGGCAACTACCCCTAGGGTCAACTTAGCTTTGCCTCATAGCTTCATGCAGACAGAAACCGTGCTTCTGAGCGTTGCGTGAGCACCAAGGGATCCAATGCAGATCAAGGGTCTGGTAGGTTGCTTCGTCTATGTTGAAAAACATGTTCATATATCTTGGCTCAATGTGAATTTTCTGAATCTTGTCTATTGATGGATAGAAACAACAAATATATGTTATGTTTCAAGATGATATGTTTCAGCCTATTTGGCAAAGCCACACCGGAGGGGATGCCAAGCAACGAGCAACGAGGCAAATATGTGGCATACATTTCACCACACTCATTGGTACAATCAGCTATAGAAGTTTTAAGTGATGCAAAATCCTTCCAGCCCCATGTTTGATACTTAGAATAGTTCTATTGGTTAAGACATGTTAGATCACATCAAGCATCATGTTGAATCTGTGGGTAAAACAGTCAAAAACCACCCATTTCAGAACCATAGGAATGGTTTCTATTATACCATATATATATATATATATATGTATACATATATAAATATAAATAAATAAATATATATATAGGCTATAGACATATTTATGGTGATGACTGGGCGATGGTGCAAATGGCGTTTGACCAAGGCTGGGGCATCGCTTGTTCCGCTTGGATCACCAGACTCCACGCGTCCTGTGGCGGCCCCAAGGGATCCACGTTTGAAACGGTTTGGATCAACGGAGATGATGACAGATGTTCATCATTGTTCATCATTGGATGGCTCAGGTCATGAAAAATGAAGGATGTTCATTCAAAAACTCCCAGTTGGATGGTTTCTACAGGAAAATCCATCTATAAATGGATGATTTAGGAATTTAGGGGTCCTATTTAGGAAACCTCCAGGTGTTCATCATTACAACACTAATGTGGGTTTGAGACAATGCCATTTGCACCATCCCCCGGTCACCATTTTTATAATAGGTGGTATGGTTACAAAATTCACAGATGGGTGGTTTACGACATTGTCTCAAACCCACATTGGGGATTTTGATGTAGGTGAAATGTCTCAGCTACTCGGGCTTATTAGATCAAACTAGAATCAATCAACTAAAATTATTTCATAATAGTGGCCTTTATTTTGCTCATGACTATTATTGATGATAATCAAATGATTGGGTGTAATTAGGGCATGCTAGTTGTAATGCATTTGATTTCTTTGGAGGTCATGATTTCAATGAACCAAAGAAAATGTGAATTCCTGTGGTGGTTACAGCTAACTGTCATACAGATGTGGCATAAGCATAAGCAATTTCATAGACTCCAATTAGAGATAGGTTCATTATAATGACCCCATTATATCCCATACTTGTCCCATAATTGAATTGTAGTTCTCCACAATTCCCAAACAGTACTGTACCGTATAGGAATTGGTAGTTATCCCCTTAGATTTCCCATATTTATGCACGGTATAATTCCATGATTACTAATTTGGTGGACGTTGTTCCCAAACAATTCCCATGTGAGAATTCCATATGTGTATATGTGTATAAATTCTTGTCGCATAATCACGCCATAGGTATAGTTTGATAATCAAACATGACATGACAATGGAAACTCCCTCATTTGTAGATGATTCTTCCCTGCTTTTTTTTTGGTCCATGAGTCCCATTTGTTTCGTGTTTGTCCCCATGGTTTTCCCCACATTATTCCCATGGGGCTCCAAGCGGCCCTTTCGCCACCGTCAGGATGGTGGGACGTGGCATTAAGGGCGAGAAGGGCTTGCCACGCGGCCCTGTAGAGATGTCTGGGGGTGTCAACTGGCCAGCCAACATGGGGAAAACATCAGGAAAACATAGGGAACACATAGGGAAAATGAATGATGATGATGGTTCATTATAAAATTTTGTTGTTTTCGAATGGGCTCGCATTTTCAACCATGGAAATTGGATGATGATCAATGATCCCCAATTACCAATAGTCTACCTTTTTTGGGGTGTTGAAACCACCAACCAGATTCGGTGTGGTGGATTTCCCTGAATAGAGCTTTTTTTTTTAATGAATGGTCAGTTGACCAGCAGACGCTGTTTTTTGTTGCCAGTCAGCCAGTCGACCTCGGGGAGCTTGCTCCCAAAAGGCCAAGTTGCTAGGATCTACATACGTAGTTTAACCTTCTGACTTTGTCCAAAATTGGGAGGTACCTTGAAATGGTAACTTTCATGAGGAAACTGATGATGACCAAATGACGTCAGAAAGTTGACCGTTTGAGCTCCCAGAGTGGTCATAGTGTGGTAACAGCAGAGATTATTTGCATGACATGTGCTAACATTGGATTGCTAGTGACAGAGAAATGCAATGAATAATTACTATTCGTGGAACTGGTGGGAAGTTCATATTACTGTACTGTAAGTGCAAGAAAGTCCGGAAAAGTATTCACCGGAAAATAAACGTAGCTATTGAACATCACCAGTTTTAATAGGTCAATCATCGAACTGAATGGTAATTTTACATGGCTATGTAAGACATTACCAAGGAGAGCATGTTCCCCATGTTTGTTGGTGAAATCTCCATTCATCACCATACAATCCCATGAAATCACTATAAAATCCTATGAAATCACCATAAAAATCCCATGAGAGCACCATTAAATCCTGCTAAATCACCACACAATCCCTTAAGTCCAAGTCTTATTCGTTCTAAGTATCTTCCACCGGGCCTAGGCCTGACTATCCGAGCCCTTTCCTGGAGAGACCGGGCCCCACGGGCAGCTGCGCTCTGGTAGTCACTAACAGTTTGCCCCGGAAAATCACCGGCTTTAAAAACGCTAGATCAACTATAAAGGTGCCATTGAAAAACATAGCTATGTTAAATTGCCAGAAGTTAAGTTTACCAAGATATGGGATTGACATGGATTGACCAGGATTTAACCAACAGGATTTAACGAGCTCAATTTGGAAGTGAAGCAGCCAAAATGTGGGGTTTATGATGTTTTATCTAACCCTAAGGATCCAAGCGGATTTGTCTGAAAATAGTGAAAATAGGATACCCGCAAATCCCATGGTTGCTCATCTTGTCTTGAATAAAATTGCACTTTTGGAGGTGTACCCGTGTACCTGGTTTATTTTCAGACAAACCCACGTACCTTCTGAGGAACCTTCTGAGGGACTGTTTGGGCTCATCCCATTTACGACGGTTTCAAAATCCCACTTGCTCAACACAAAGGTTTCTTCATGTTTGTTCATATGCATGGTTTTTTTTGCACCACATTTTAGTTTGTTTGTGGTTTTCTGGCCAAACCATCATCTTCCATTTTAAATCACATCCGCAGTTTTGTTTGGTCCGGTCCTTACGCGTGATTTTGTTTAATGATGTTGGCTGAATCATCGTTATTGTTGTTCACCGCCATTTATCCACATCATTGTGTTTGGTTTGATCGCCCTTGCTACTGGTTATATCAATTATTATCAGTCTCTCTCTCTCTCTATATATATATATCATAAAACCTCTGTTTTCCAAGGTTTTCAATGGTTTTCATGTGTTTCATTTCCATCTTTTATGATAAACAAATATCATTCAGTGGCCATTTCAGGAACCTAAATAGGAGGTACCTGTACCTACCCTATATATCCCTATATAAGGTTTATGTAAGGGGCCTTTGTATGATACAGTACCTCCAGTTTAGATACCTGAAATGGCCATTGAACCACGTCTTGGTTGCTAAAAGAGCGTTGTACCCTAGGGTAGACTAACAGAGATGTAGTTCCACATCTATGTTCTTAGGGAAACCATGGGTTTTGATGGGTGTTCCACAATGTTCCACATCTATGTTAGTTTACCCTAGGGCCTAGGGCACCTTGTAAGAAAGGATAACTTGAGATGGTGACTATCCGACTATCCTTCGAGGCCCAGCGCGCGAGACTCTAGAGGTCATGTGGCAGGTGCGGGTGCCTGCATGGCGTAGCTTCGTGAAAGCCCGTAGGACATTTTATGGAAATATCATAGGAATATCATCAACCATGGACCATGGGAACACAATAGGAACACATAAAGAGATATAATGTACGTATATTAATCTTCGTTTGTGAAGTGTTGCTGCCGCACAGGGACGAATGAGGGATTCAGATGCCGGGAGGAAAAACAACACACACACACATATATATATATATATCATATGGAATATATTGGGAATATCATCCACAATGGGAATAATTATGGGAATATAATATATATATATATATATATTGGGCGGGTCATTTTGGGCAACCCATAGATCAAAAATAGAACATACCCTGGAAAGCCTGGAAAGATGCGGTAAATCTCATCGAACTAGCATCCTGGTTGCACACTTTCGGGAATCATATTTTGGGATTATATACTGTACCTGGTTTATTTGGGACAAATTGGGTCCATGGATGTCCATGGCGTTTTTTTTCAACACATATAGTGTGATGGGATACAGGGTGATAAAGGTATTTTTCATGACTCAAGTGTAAAATTTTGACATTCTGGGTAGCAACATATGGAAGACATGGAGGACGACTTGCTGAAACATGATCGGTGAGCCCCGGCAATGCGGTGCTGATCCAACTACTACAGATTTATCCACCACACACCCTAGTGAAGTTAGTTGACCTACTTGATCTCAACCCCGGATTAATCAATAGACCAGCGGTTTTTGCTTCGGGGTTTAGCGCCCAAATACTGATAATTAGCCAGTATATCAGAAGGTCCCCCACAATTAAGCAGCCCAGGGATTAATAAACAATCTAGGGTCGGTATTTCCAAGATTAGGGGAAAACATTGGGAAATGTGTGAAAAACAAGGTAACACGCCTCCTCAGTACCCGGGTAAAATCGATCAAAATTGAGCATTTGACCTGTTATTTACAGTGTTCTGTGTGTATCATCATTCAAGGTCCCGAAGTGCAAAAGGACGCCAAACTTGTTTTTCATCCAGAGCAGCGTGGCGGTCTAGTCCTTCTTGTTATGTCGGTAGACGTACTGGTATATTTATTCCCACAAGTGGGGATTAACGACTTTGTCGTTTCTGTTTTTCAAGCAATGCGGCACGATTTTTTCAGCCACATCCAAGACCTATCTAGGACTTGTTGCCAGCCCATTTGGCATGACGTGTGTGTGTGTGTGTGCAAGTGCAAGAAGAACGTGCAGTAGCGTAGCATGACGTGTGTGTGCAAGTGCAAGAAGAACGCGCAGTAACGTAACATGAGAACGTGCAGTAGCGTAGCACGACGTGTGTGTGTGTGTGTGCAAGTGCAAGAAGAACGTCCAGTACCGTAGCATGACGTGTGTGTGTGTGTGTGTGTGCAAGTGCAAGAAGAACGTGCAGTACCGTAGCATGACGTGTGCGTGCAAGTGCAAGAAGAACGTGCAGTAACGTAGCATGACGTGTTTGTGCAAGTGCAAGAAGGCCGTGCAGTAGCGTAGCATGACGTGTGTGTGGAAGTATACTTGAACGTTTCTAGCCACCCCACCCCACCCCACCCCACCCCAACGTAGCATGACGTTTGTGTGCAAGAGCAAGAAGAACGTCGCATAACCACAACCTATCGTAACCTCAACGTAGCATCAACTTAAACGCAAGAAACATGAACGTTATTGCACCCCCCCACCCCATCCCACCCCGTCCCACCCCACCCTCACCGTAGCATCAACACATCATCAACGTTCAATCAAAAACGTGCAGCGTTGCCGGGTACCGAGAGTACGTGACACCAAAAACAAAGCAGATCACTTGGCTAAAGTGAAAATTAAGAGTGTATAGACACAATCGCAAAGCCGAAGATGTACAGCTAGAGAAGTTGGAAACCTGGCATGACAACAACCATGTTGATTTTTAACATGGTATATTGCGTGTTGCCTTGAGATGTCATCCGTTTCGAATGTTGCGAGTCTTTAATGTTGGGATCCGAAAAAATCAACCAACATGACTCCAATGATCAGATGTCTACAAAATCACCATTTGAATCCATTCTATGGTTTTTGCATGGTCCCTTTTTGAGCTATCCTGCGTGCCCTTATGGGGCCACCCTGCCACCAGCACACCACAACAGGTCAGAGAAGTGAACCTCATCGATGCGCCGGTTGCGGACAAGACGTCCCGGAAGTTGGTGGCCATAGGATGATAACGTTCCCACTTGCTGCAGATGATGCTGTTGTGACCTCAAAACGAGCAACTTGTATGCTCTAAACCGTCAAGATGCGCCATTCAGTCGGAGCAAAGGAACTACCAAGAGTTTGTGATACTTGGTGGTTCAGCCCAGTGAGTAGGTGGTTTTTAACCATGTTCTATAATAGATTTTTCCGCAGTTACAACTGGATTAACCTATCTCCGATCCTTATTATATATCCATATATTGCATATATGTTTCCTATTCATTATTGGGGTTCGGACCCACTTCCCCTGGGGTGTTCACCACCAGTGAAGCTACCAACCACTGGGATGTCCCCCCAGTTGTGTCTCGACTGAGGCGCCATCGGTTCGTGTTCACGAAATTGAGGGCATTTGAGGCCAGCGTGATGTGGTTCTGGCAGTCATGAGATGTTTATTGATGTTTCATTGACTTGGATACCCTCACAAGGAAAGAAGAGCGATTTACCGAAAGTAGGAATCCAGGATTGGATTCTTCTATCGTTTTGGGTTGGTTAATTTGGTTGAGTTATCATTTGATGGCCATACATGGCGGTTCGACAAGTTGTACAATGGATTTGACCAAGCAAAGTTGTGTTATTTTTCTTTGCTAAAATATATCAACCAGCAGCCGGCTAGATTTACCAAGCACGAGCAACAAAAAAAAACAGGAGTTCTATTCATAGCCCCAGCTTGCAATTTTTGAATTTTGACAATATGTTTGGTTGACATAGATCATGAAACATTAAGGTGCATGTATTGCACTTCGATCCATCTAAATCATATATAGACTTGGTCCTGGCGGACACAAGCTTGCTATGAGAATCGTGGGTGTAATATACATGAATCCATGGGCAAATGATTTGTCGCATTTACCTGTACTGGAAATAAGTAAATACATATATAATCATATTTATATATGCCACATCATGACGTACTGGCGATGGCATAGGGTGCACCAGTCGCGGGGTCTCGCGGACTCCTGCGAGTCGCAGGTTGGTGCCCCATAGAAGGTGCAGCTCACGGTAGATTTATCGAACCATATTCAGAGTTCATGGTGGATGTAAACCAACCTATATTCTAGATTATTCTAGGTCAATCTTACATGGATACTTTAATCCTTTAGTCTTTTGGTATTAATGGGAATATCTACTAACCAGCAAAGAATTTAATTTTTTGCAGGGTATCTAAGATTGGCAATGTATTTATCTATATTTTGGGGGCCACGGGCCACATGCAAATGTCTAATTTAATCTCTGGGGAGACATGGTGCAAGATGTGGCCGGTCATGGCTAATCAATCGGGCACACTAGTAGAATCCAAATGATAGGCATAACAAGTGTACGAAGAATAGCATTCTTGTACCTGTGCACTTTATAAAGTTTGCAACAAATAGATTTGTATATATATATATGCGTATACAGTATGTATCCATATTATGTTTATGCAGTCATTACTTTTTTACATTTGTATGCATATACACACATAAATGCAATAGTTCCGCCCCTCTGATTCTCCCCGGGAAGCCTCGAAACCAAATTGCTCGTCAGGTCCCCTACCGCAAAATTATTTTCTTCGACCTAGACATCATAGCGACTTGGCTGACACTCCTTGGTAAATTTGTGCCGAAATTTGCGGAATTGGAATAGCACTTGGGCCAAACAAATGCCCAAAGCCTCTCAGATTTGTCTTGAATTATCATCAGTAGTGTATGCTGCTTCTGGTGTTCTCAATGCAATTTCTTCTCAGTCAGTTTCAGTAGTATTGCTGGGCCATGCTGGGCCTTTTTCTTTCTCCTTTGCCTTCGCATTATTACCCATTGTCAGTTAACATTTTCCGGTCGTGGTGAATGATGATTATCTGGCTGGTGGTTTGGAACATGTCTTTTCCCCATATGAAAAATAACCCCAACTGACTAATATTTTTCAGAGGGGTTCAAACCACCAACCAGTTCTTCTTAAGACTAGGACCTATTTAGACTTCCTCGAATTCCACATCAACTATTTGGTCTATTATCATTCATTATTGGCTATTTTAGACCATCAACCCCTGCTAAAGGCGCCCAGTAATTAGACAGCCAAGATTCGTCCTGAGGGTCACCTTGGGGATCGGTTTTTCACACCAGGTGCGACGGTCTCCGGCCGAGCTCTTTCAGGCAGCTGGGGCTACTGGGTGATAGATGCGCCATGGTCAAAACATGGGTTTTTAGTGCACATACTTGGAGAATGGTGATCAATCCATCAACAGAGGTGATTTTGTCATGATAAGGATCCCTATAATGACCATAGCCCATATATGTAATTATAATAAATATATATAATGTATGTATATGTGAATGAATAATAAATACATAGTTCAATAAATAAATATATAGATGATTGCATATATATATACATGTTAAATAAATACTCTATATATGTTTATATATATACACACCATCTTTGATCATGGCACATATCGGTTTGGTACCTGAAAATCAGTGGAAACCCAACCAGAATCTCATGGTGTATCAATGTTGACCATCGTGTTTCCGTTTTTTTTCCATGAAGATTGCCATTTTGGGGCTTCCCCTGGTTTTGGACAAACCCATATCACGTGATGTACCTTTTGCATGTCGAAAAACATCATAGCCATCCCTAATAAGGATTAATAAGGGACAAAGGGTAAAGACATGTCCTAAAGACACTTGCGACGCAATTCTGGGAAGCAATAGAATACATAAGCGAAAGCAGAGAAGCAAAGAAGCAGAAAAGCAGCAGAGTGGAAGCAAAAGCAAAGGCACAAAGAAGCAGAAGCACAGAAGCAGAAACGCGGAGAAGCAGAGAAGTAGAGAAGCAAACCTAAATATGGATGTGTCGGTGTATCCCCAAATAACAATCAGATTTTGGGGTACACTATTTTCAGACAAACCCACACACACATATATATATATTATGTGTATTATGTATATAACATGACGAAACAAGATTCAACCGAAAATGACTTGGACTCTGGTACTTGTAAGAGGAACGAGGCTGGGTTTGGGAGGCCTCAGTATGCACCACTCCCTTGGAGAGACAGGTAGAGGATAAAAGCGAGGAAGTTAACAAACAAAGGAAGACGCTCAGAGCAGAAGTGATGGGCATTGAGATGCATTGAGCTTGCAGCTGGCAGACCAAAAAGTTGGAAGACAGAAAAGACAGCTTCACAACTACACCCGGCACGGTAAGCCAAGCCCCACTGATCATCACTGAAGGTCATTAGGAATTGGGGCCACCATCAAGAAACACTTATATAGTTGAGTCAGCCTCTGTGGTGAGGCATGCAACTCAGAGGACGGATGGAAGAAAGGTGAGACACTACTTCCTTCACAATATCATCAGGAGCTGGACAACAGAAGGTAGACCCAGGGATCTGAAACGCTCAGCTGTTTCCCCTCAAGTTGCGCTAGAACGGCGGACCCGTGTTTACCTGTTTCGGGTTTAAGGGCTTTAGGGTTTTTCAATATACATATATTATATATACTGCGTGCTACAAAACGCGACAAATATAGAGCATTCATATTCACAGTAGCACAGTGCCATTTTGATCGACCGGCGGTGGGCAAGATTCCTCAATGTCAACACATGCATCAACTTCAAGAAATGCAGATGCCCTGCCCCAATGTCGTGAGTGATGCCCGGCCAAACACGGAGACACCGTGCCAGCCGATCTTGTTGTTGTGCTTGACCTCCTTCGACCGGTCTCCGCTGTCGGTCCTTGAACTGACTGCGTTAGGGGGTGCTAGTCTTCACTTCTATCAGAGGGTTATGGGACATCGTCAGGTCCCAGCACCAGCCGGCATGTACCATGGCCATTGGCCCAGAGCTCAGGAATGCAGTGGGCTGGGGCGGGCTTGGTAGCTTTTGCCATTCACATGGTGGTTGCTGGGTGGGTGTGTGTGTGTTTGTTTGACAAGTTCATGGCACAATACTAAGTCGTTCATCAGATTATCTTAAGTTTTTGAATAAAGGGCATTTCTGGGCACCCCCTTGTTTTGGACAGTCACATGTGCATGTAAGAGATAATGCCCCAGCCAGTTGCTATTTCATACTGTACTATTTCAGCCAGATTAGGGACGACCAGGCGGTGAGGATGACAACTGGGTTGTGGGCTGGTCCGTTGTTTGGCTGCATTGTGGCCATTTTGTACATTAATTAGATCGGGTCGGCTACCGGAAACGAGCTGAATAGTTGGGCTCTAGCCCGTTTTTCCGAGCCAAACAGTTGAGAAGAAATGACCCAATCCAGGTGATCATTTCCAAAACAACCGAAGATTTCAGATAGACGGATGAGAGAACACCTGTGATGATCAGGCAAGCCAGATGGTCGGATGAGAGAAAACTCACCCCGTCATGATCAGGCAACTCAGATGGTCGGATGAGAGATCCCCACCCCATCATGATCAGGCAACTCAGATGGTCGGATGAGAGAACCCCACCCCGTCATGATCAGGCAACTCAGATGGTCGGATGAGAGATCCCCACCCCGTCATGATCAGGCAACTCAGATGGTCGGATGAGAGAACCCCACCCAGTCATGATCAGGCAACTCAGATGGTCGGATGAGAGAACCCCACCCCGTCATGATCAGGCAACTCAGATGGTCGGATGGGAGAACCCCACCCCGTCATGATCAGGCAACTCAGATGGTCGGATGAGAGATCCCCACCCCGTCATGATCAGGCAACTCAGAAGGTCGGATGAAAGATCCCCACCCCGTCGTGATCAGGAAACTCAGGTGGTCGGATGAGAGAACCCCACCCCGTCCTGATCAGGCAACTCAGATGGTCGGATGAGAGATCCCCAACCCGTCATGATCAGGCAACTCAGGTGGTCGGAAGAGAGATCCCCACCCGTCATGATCAGCTAACCCAGATGGTCGGATGAGAGATCCCCACCCCATCATGATCAGGCAACTCAGATGGTCGGATGAGAGAACCCCACCCCGTCATGATCAGGCAACTCAGATGGTCGGATGAGAAACCCCACCCCGTCATGATCAGGCAACTCAGATGGTCGGAAGAGAGATCCCCACCCCGTCATGATCAGGCAACTCAGATGGTCGGATGAGAGATCCCCACCCCGTCATGATCAGGCAACTCAGATGGTCGGATGAGAGAACCCCACCCCGTCATGATCAGGCAACTCAGATGTTCGGATGAGAGATCCCCAGCCCGTCCTGATCAGGCAACTCGGATGGTCGGATGAGAGAACCCCACCCCGCCATGATCAGGCAACTCAGATGGTCGGATGAGAGAACCCCACCCCGTCATGATCAGGCAACTTGGATGGTTGGATGAGAGATAGGCAACTCAGATGGTCGGATGAGAGATCCCCACCCCGTCATGATCAGGCAACTCAGATGGTCGGATGAGATCCCCACCCCATCATGATCAGGCAACTCAGATGGTCGGATGAAAGAACCCTACTTAAGTGGTCGAGTAAGAGAACCCACCCCGTGATCAGACAACTCAGATGGCCGGATGAGAGGACTGCACCCTGTCATGATCAGGCAACTCAGATGGTCGGATGAGACGGACGAACCCTCCCAGTCATAATCAGGCAACTCAGATGGTCGGATGAGAGATCCCTACCCCGTCATGATCAGGCAACTCAGATGGTGGAATGACATCATGATCAGGCAACTCTGATGGCCGGATGAGACAAACCCCACCCCGTCATGATCAGACAACTCAGATTGTCACCCCACCCCGTCATGATCAAGCAACTCAGATGGTCGGATGAGAGAACCCCACCCCGTCATGATCAGGCAACTCAGATGGTCGGATGAGACACACCCCACCCCATCATGATCAGGCAAGTGAGATGGATGATGAAAAGGTGAGCATGTGTGAAGGAAAGGTGAGCTGTCTTCAGGCTTTCACGCCAAAAGATCAAGCCGGTCAAGAGCTCAGACTACGCCTGGCTCCCACCGATCATTGGTGGTGGCATGGTTTGTATAGATGCAGAGGGACGTTTCTTTCCACATGTGCTTTCCGGATCCCATGCCACATTGGCAACCCTGACCCTGCACCTTGCGCGAGCTGAGGGACCGGAGCAAAGCCAGACACGGCGAACCGATCCCAGAAGAGGCCGCATTTTTGGTTTTATGTTTTCTCGGGCCTGGCGTGGTTGGCAGGGCCGGGGCCACACCACACTTTGATTAAGCCTTTTCCATGGTTGATGTGTAATGAGATATGTTTTAAAAACGAGCGAATGCTTGCATCTTGCATCCACTGTTTTTCGTTTCCAGAGGTAATTGGTAGGGGCTGGATGTACGAATCATGTGGTCGCTGCTCGCCAACCCCTTGTGGCCAGTCTTGTGATGCGATGGTCATGGGCCATGGGTTTCATTTTTGCCAGGGATTGAATTTCATTTCACGGATTTTCACGGCGTTTCACCAAGGTTCTGTAATATGTTTTTTATTTTGCAAATTTCAACATTTTTAGCGAAGCGGTTGCTAAAAACGTTGGTGGTCCATGATGCCGTTGGCGCACTATGTGGTTCCAATCATGCAGCTAGCTGGCCCAACCTAATAATGCCACGCCTGTGACAGCAAACAGATGAAACTATTTTTGCAACATGTTCAAAATCAACGTCATCCATGTCATCCCAACTCTCTCTCGTTTCATCTTGTTTTTTAAATGTGTGTTGTTTACTGTTTGTTTCGGGATGCCTCAAATTCTTGATGTAAAACACCATGGTGAGGCCTTCTACGACCATGGGCGCGTTGGCTGCATCAATGCTGGCCTCATGCGTTCGGTGTGCTCAGCCGTGGGTAACCGCAGGATGTATGAATATGCAGGACATGATTTTAGCATATTTTCGCGCAATGATTCAAAATAAAAACTGCGATTTTTGCTGGAGATGACATGCTAAACCAGCGATATACCTAATGTGAAGGTAATTTCGGGTGCACGCATTTTTCCAATTTTCTTTGTCATGAGTAACAAACGTTTGACAACGCAAGGCACAGGGGTCATGAGAAATTAAAATGATACGTTTGCCGTCGAATTTTTCACATGTTTCCAATCGTTTACAGTGTTTTTTGTCGGTTAGAATGTCGGAACAATTGCCAACTTCAGTTTTTTCCATTATATCCAAGTTAACGTGTTACATTTTCGTACCTGTTGTTTTGTCATTCTCTTGTCACTGTGTGTTTTTTTAAAAACACCACCACCACCACCACAACAACAACAACAATGCAATATTCTGGGCATTTGTCATTTCCAAGGTTTAGACCCTCCTAGCAGCAAGAAAGAACGAAGGCACTTTGTGGAGAGGGCAGGGCGCTTGTGTGACTAGTCTCAGACGACTAGTCTCAGACGGAGAAGTCACCAAGGGAAAGAAATACTTTCACAAAGTAAGCACCATTGAGTGCAAAAACGGCAAGTACTCAGTCGCAATGGCTGGGGCGGCATGTTCTTGAGCCAGGGTTGGAGTGTAGCCTTGGGCACATCAGGCGCTGGATTCGCCAAGCATTTTTGAATGCAAATATCATTTGGTTTCCATTTACATGAAATTCCCATTTCATCTACAAGCCCTGGCAGATGCCAAATGGTATAGAGATGATGTTGTTTTTGTTTGGCAGCACATGTTCGCCAGGCACAAGGTAGATGATTTGGTGAAGAAGGTGCGCGCTGAATCATCGGGGCGGCCATTGCTGCTGGAAGGCACCATTTTTGTTTCCCAGGAATGTAGTGATCTGCAGTCACGCAACTGGAGTCAGGGCCACCAGGATTTAAATGAACATCAACTGATGGATTGTATTTTTTGGGGGAGTAATATGATGTAACTTGATGTAATATGTTTATATATGTGTGATCTATACAAGTGGGTGGTTCACTCTATTTCACTTCACTTCCAAGCAATGCGCAGCCCGCTCAGCTTCAAACACCTGGTTCAGTTTAGGTCACGACACAAAAAAACAGTTTCAACATAGGCCAACTTAGTTATACCATATATTAGCATATATATATATATACATAGCCATATGGCTATGAACCAACATAAGATGGGAATATTTCCTTAGTGAAGATCACCCAAGTTGGCACCTTGGAGATGGCGTATCGCAAACTTCCCGTGTAACTCGGCTTTGGTGAAGACACCCGGCGGGGGTTACTAGGTGATGCCTGGTGAAAGGCAAACCTGGCAGTCTTGTGCCCAGTATTCCCCATCTTAGACTATTTTATACTGTCGGAATTGTTGGGGTTGAGGCATACCCTTGGGCAATCAGACGTGGCAATGGAAAATCCCCTATAAATGGCGGATAATGATGGATAATGTAGGTTTTAATGCGAAAAACATCTATAAATGGTGGATTTTCCGGCAAGCCACGTTTTACCGAAGGGTACCTTTGGACATCTTAAAACTCTAACTTTGAGGTGGCACAGCCTTCCAGAATGGCTGCGATTTCATGGGGACATGGCCTTCAAGATGTGCTCAAGTCAATGGAAAGGGGGCCACAGACAAAGCAACTCTATGAAATGGTAACGTGAGCTTGTCTGAAATTCTTGAACCGAAAAATCCCATGTTGTTTGCCAGGGTGTTCCTTTCTTCTCTCATTCCAATTGCCATTTCATGTTGTTGGATAATCCCTGGTGTATCCCCCATGGCTTAAAACAATGGATCATGGCTTTGATCTCCGGACGGTTCCTAAATCCATTGGCTTCCCCAGGTGCTGGCATACTTGCATGTGTATGTATGTTGACGTCAACCTGGGGTGAGTTTCCCACCTTCGTAAACACACAACAATTTGTGTTTAAAGTGTCAGTATGTGTTGTGACTGTATTTGACCAAAAGCTGGAAATCATAGCATGTTCGCTTTTCAAAGGCAGCTAGGGTAAAAGCTCCCAGTGGCCACCACAAGATACCCAGTGAGGGTGTCCAGCTGAGTCAGCAGGGTGGCTTCCGTTGGTTGTTACATGTTGTTACTCACCGGCGGGCTCTATTCTGAATGTCCACATTTGTTGGATACACTTGCCAGAAATCCACCTGACCAGGTTGTTGGTGACTTTTCTGTTCTTTTCTGTGGCTCATCCATGCTTCCTTGCAGTCAGAC